TTATTATTATTATTATTATTATTATTATTACTCTATTAGTGTCATATTAAGTGTCCTAATCAATTGAATGTGTTGTTATCCTCCTTTTCTGTTCTCTTTCTCTAGTTTTCTTTATTGATACATGTAGAAATCGTTTATTATTTGATAAGTATACAGGTGGCCGTTCAATTATGCATAAATGCATTGAAGAACAACTGCTAAGTTTTTGCATAGATTATCTTACTTTTATTGTTACTAATAGTGATGGCGCAATGAATGTGTTGTCAGTAGGGGGCAAAAGAACTTTCAATTAAAGAATCATATGAGGTAACACTAGATAGCAAAAGCATGAAAGCTGTAGAGGCAAAAAAGTGTCACAAAGATGTTGCCCATAACTGGTTGCAACATACATGTAGCTCTATAGAAACAAAAACTTTGCTATTGGTAGTCCTAAACTTTCTTTGTGGAAAGGAAGATATATCATTATAAGCAAGCGCTTTCTAATAGTCACGGCCACACAATATTCCTTCGAGATCCTTTCTGCACAGCAACTACTATGGAGTAGATGGTGAATGCAGATAAACATGAACCAGGTAATGTCTATGATAATAATTAAAAGGCATTTAATAGTGAAAAAGGACAACTATTGGCCAAGCTATTGGGTGATTTGGCTCTGCTCATGTTTTTAGTTCCTGTCAATGTTTAGTTGTCTCTGGTTGTTTTTAAAATGGCCTGTAACAGAGTTATCACTTTTGATGAATTCTTGGACCAAAAGCCACCAATAAAAGAATTAGTTGAACAAATTGATACTAGGAATGAATGGCTTATGTTTGGAGTAATACTGGGGTTAACCAAAGATGCTATATATCAGCTACCAAAGGGTGTAATCACTGGAAAGACTGAAGCATTGCTTGAGTTATGGCTACATGCTCCTAATGCAAGCAGGAGACAATTGCTAGAGGAATTAAGAAAGGATCCAGATAAGAAGGATGTTGCTGACAATTATGAAAAGCACCTCACTGATACTTATCAGGCAGAATGTTAGTTATGATATAGAGTATAATACTTACATACAAAATGCTTTTTTACATGCCAATTACTGATGATGATGTTCTTACAATAGGTAAACAATCATCTGAAAAAGAACCTGCTGATCAATGTTTTGTGTCAGGACAGAAATCAAGGGAAGAATTAGGTACATGTGTAATGTTTTCAAAGAATTAATTTACACTGTGCATGTAGATATTGAAGAAAAACTCAAGACAAAGGACTGTGTGATTCAAGAGCTGCAAGATAATATTTGTAATTATAAAGAACAAATAAAAGGTAAGACAAACAATTATTTTATGAATTATTAATTTCACTGTGTATATAGATTTTGAGGAAAAACTGAGGACAAACAACTCTGATATTGAAAATTTACAGTCTACTTTTGAAGAGAAGGAGAATGGTAAAAACATACAGTATACTTTTGTATTAATTTTATTTTATATTGTATAATTGAAGAGTTGCAAGCTGCTGTTCATTGCAATGAAACACAGAAAGTTGGTAAGAAAAACAATCATTTTATTCTTAACTTGACTGTGCATGTAGATTTTGAGGAAAAGCTGAAGACAAAAGTACAAGAAATTAACGATTTAAAGGTCTCTATCAAAGAGAAAGACAATGGTAGTTTTACTTTTGGAGCTTGAAATTGTTTTTATTCATTGAAATATAGAGTCAGATTCTAAAATTCAGGAATTACAAACTATTATCCATGAAAAGGAAGAAGGTAATTAAATGAAATTAAAGCTACTTACATCATGTGTTTTATACATAAAGAATTATTGTCCAGTCAAAAATTGCTTGCAAAGAAGGAGAGAGAAGTCAATACGCTCAGTGAAGGAATTACTGGTATGTGCTGACATACATCATCAATTGAATTAAATGCACTGTAGCTAAAGAAACAGAGCTAGCTTCATTCAGAAAACTGTCAGAAGAACAACTACAAGATTTAGTGGCATTGAAATTAAAACTTACTGACAATCAGCAAGATATTGGTACATTTTATCTTTTGATAGTCATACATTACATACACATATTTTATTTTCACAGCTGAGAAAGAATCAATGATAAAGTCAACAAATGAAGGTAATGGAAAAGTTAATTCCCTGAAAAGTCAATCATACCAAACACATTGTAGAATTATTATCTGTGAGACTACTACTATCTCAAACACAAGAAGAACTTAAGTTGCAAAGAAGTAAGCAAAATGTGCAAAGGATAATGATACATAATTTTTAAACAGATGAGTTGGAAGAGAAATTAAAGACACAACATAGAATTAGTAAAATGAAGGATAGAGAAATTGAAAGTTTGAAGGCTATGCTATACCCAAGAAATGAGCAAGACATGATCACCAGCATAAGTGAGTTACATATTGTATTAATACACACTGGTTCGCAGTTATTGTTATGGCAAGAGTAGCAGTAGTAGTATAATGTGCATGCACACAGGGTTCAAAGCAGTTATTTATCATTTATAATTTTTTGTTTGTAACAGAGTGGAGTGAATCTGAAGTGCGTCTTACTTCTCCATCAGCAGAGCAGTGTACAGATGTTCTAACAAGAATAGACGACAATCATCAACAAATTTATCTCAGCGATTCATCTTCTGATGTTGCTCAGTTGTTAATAGTACCTCTGCTGCAGAAGAAAAGTGTTAACAGTTTATATATTTTCTCAACTCGATTAAGACATGGCTTCATTGACCTTTTCTCATCTCAAATGTTAGATAACAACACATTGGAGAGTCTGCATCTCAATCACAATTCCATTGATGATGTTGGGGTCATTACTCTAGTGCAATCACTAAAACATAACAAGAAGCTTCAGTACTTATCACTGGAATTTAATACTGAGATTACTTCACTCAGTGTTCCGTCACTTGCTGAATTTATACGCATCAACTGCACATTGTCTGTTCTTTATGTTGCTAGCACTAGCATTGATGCTAAGGGAGTGCTGGAACTGGTTGATTCACTTAAATTCAACAAAAGACTTGGAAAGATTGTGGTAGATCAGAAACACAAAGCAATATGCTCTCAATTTGTTAGTAAAACTAACAGACTAGACTTTTCCTATTCATCTACCACTGCTTATGAAAATACTGGCATTACCAAGTTTTAAAACCAATAGATCTATTTTGTTTACATGTGGTTGATGTGTTATTGTCTATTTTTAGTGTCAAATTAATTTAATTTAATTTAATTTAATAATAATTTTACAAGATGAGCATAAGTATAAGTACCGAAGGAGAGAGAAAGGGATAGACGGGGGATAGAGTCATTTTGATGCGATAACCGCAAGAGCTGCGGATACCCAGAGATAAAATAATAGATTATACTATATAGTACTGTTAAGATTTGTGTGCATAAGCATGAAC